ACAACAAGCAGGGCTAATCAACGCAGAGGAACTTAGTGGTCCAAATCCAGCCTTGATAATAATTTCAAAACTCAACACGGGTGAACTCCCGGGAAGCGCATTCGATGACATACAAAATTGATCACCTTCCCGGGATCGACGTTTAACCGGCAAAAACCGGGGCTTCCCGCACCGGGATGCGGTTAATTATTTACCGCTCCACAAGGATCTACGATCTCTGGAAGCGGTCGGTAAATTTATAAGAATGGTGAGTTGCTCTTGTAAATTAAAATTTCGCTTACATTTGATTACTCATATAAAGCAATAATCTTCTCCACACCTACAGATAAACGAGGTATAACGGTATAATACATGCCTCAAAATATGTTATGGAGGTAATACTTAATAGAATAGTATGTTAACATCTCCGATTATATTAATGCAGGAGCGAAAGACTCGTGGCTGATGTTTAAAGATTTTTTATTAATGTGAGAACGCTGCAAACGAGCCGGCGGTTCACCTGATGTTAAGTGATAACTGCTGGCCTTTAATATTTGCAACACCGGTAGGGTTAGGCAGATTATTTACAAAGTGGGCCCCGGATGTCTCAGTCACAAAAAAATTAACAGCGTAACATGTAACGCACAAGTTTAAACTGAAACACTTAAACAAACAATCGTTAGAAATAATTTTTAAAGCATAGCTTTTACCTTATTTATACAACTATAACTCAATAATTCGATTAGAACAATAATACTTAGCTTTTCCAGCAGAGTAACAGCTTTACCTTGCAATATTAAAGAAATAATTATTAAATAAATAAATAAATAATCAAAAACTAACTAGCGTGCGTTATAAATGTTGAATTTATACTCCTCCAAATCAAATACCAACTATCCCCGACTCTAGGGGGTAGGAAATATCACGATGCAATAAATTATAGATAAATCATTAATTTGATTAAATATGTACAATAATTATGCCACAATGTCGGCCGTGCCAATGTCACTTCTAGACAACCTTAATCTTGTGCGCGTTACTCGCATCAAAAATATGTTGTTTCAGCCAGAAGTCGTAAAGTTGTGGTCCGTTGAAGGCAATCCGAAAGAGGATATTTTGCCCGCGTGTTGCTCCGGATTCGTGGGCCGCTCTTTCTGATTGTGTTGTTCTATGGAAATTTTTCGATCATCCCGTTTCATTTTTAGAGCCGCACATAAATGTGTTACATTTAAAGAAGTAACACACGCCGGGGTCTGCTAAGCGCACCATTTACTTTGACTGATGTTTTTGCTTTCAGTACGTGGGCTATTAAAGTTTCATCGAACGCAGAACGTAAAGTAACGTAACAGCCCATAAATGACCCTCTGCTGGGCAAAGAACTCATCTGTACAGAGGCATAGGCATTTTTGTGATTATTTCCAAAATATAATTGTTTTTCACGATGTTTTCCTTCACCGCTGAGCATGTGATAAGTCAGCACTTAAAAATAACAAATTTATTGGTGCCGGCTCATTGGAAACGCAGAACGCGGGAGAAAGCAACCAGAAAGTAGCCAGTCAGCACTTAAAAAGTTATACCACCCACATTATACATAACTACAATAAAGTTTATACTCCTGATCTATTTACCTTATCTTATTATATATATCTTATTCCTTTTTTCGTCAGTAATCTAAAGGCATAACATTCCCTATAAAATTATGATAATAGATTTATTATTAATCTCTGCCAACTAAGCATTAAAGAAACTACATGATCGTTTTACCTTAATATGTATGTTTATAATGTTTGAAGTTGTGAGAATGCTTAATTAATATACTTAATAATGCATAGATTAGTCACGTGATAAATAATATTAATTGGTAACTTTAAAAGTGCGATATGCAAATTCATACGTGTAAACTTTTTAAATTATTCATCGTTCACGTCTTATAACAAGAATTTTTGCCCGCCGCTAGGATTTGAACCCGCGGTTTCGATTCGATTCAACGCCCCTAATCACTGAGCCCCAACTACCTTTGGAGGGTCACTTTATATTGCAATATTTTATTCAATTAAAAGCCGCAACATATTCGGGGCTCGCGCACGTGCATTCTGTTTTATCGCTTATGCAAATACATGTACCGTAAACTCGCGTCCCCTCATATTGACCTGTACAACAAAATAAAGAATAACCTCACCAGCCGTTATTATAATTTTAACTGGTAATCCGAATAGCCTTACTCGCCGTTATTTTTAACCGGTAATCCTTGAATGAACTAGCGCATTGAAAAGCATTTGAAATGTGGAAGTAAGCCATTACATTCAAATTTCAAACGAACAGCTATTGGTATATACAGAAGTGAGCTACATTTCATAGAGAATTTCAGATTATTCAGAAAAAGGACAGGTAATAAGTTTAGCTCATAAGGTTCTCTTGAATTAAATTTTAAATGGGGCATTCTTTTATCGTTTTACTCTGCGTCCGATGCACGAACGGTGAAACTGTATAAGTGGTCTCGTAACTTCGATGCCGAACTTCGATATTAAAGATTGTTATCTTCGAAGTAGTTCAGTGTCTGTATCTTTCTTGATTTTGCTTTGAAATCTTTCTTAATATACAAAAATAAGAACGAACGTATATGTTCCTTATTAAGACCCACCTTTGATTAGGATTCGATGACTCACTGGCAGTTACTGAGCTATTGGCTTCGGCGGGACACCTATGTATGCGACCCACAGATAGTTTAGCATCTGGATGTTTGTGAACGTGCTATTTATGTTTGTAAAACGTCCTTACAACACAGGATAAAGTTATCCTAAAGTGACGTCAATGTTTTAAAAAAAAATAAAGAGTCGCAAGAGAAAACACAATCCTAGGCTCGGACAACGCTCCGCGTAATCGCCATCGTCATTCATTACGCATAATTCAATTTATATCGCGGCCCGTTTTCAACGCGCACCACCCACGTGACACACGGCGTGTCCGAACATTATCGCGTTTCGATTCATCGCGGCGGCGCGGCGTTCCGCTTTTATTGGCGTTAGAAAAATAAAATCGGCCAATCGCCCGCCCGCCGGCCATTGTTCCGTGTCCAAATAATCGTAAATTCCCGAACGGACAAAATATAATAAATTGCCGATGAGATCTGTGCGAACACTTCAACATATTTAGCGCTACGCGTCTGAAGTCACGCCATGGCCCTTATTGCGCGCGCCGAAGGGCGAAATTCGAACGCGATCCGTCTTGCGAAGCGTAAATGCGACGCACCCAGTCTATATTTGCGTTCGGTACCCTTTGTTGTGGGCTTTTTTCGGTTGTTCCCGCGCGAAGGCCGATAGAACACGTTTTTCAAATCATTAAACAGTTTCGGTCGCGCCGGCCGCGGTCGAAAAGAGGTTTTGCTAAAAAAGGAGGTTGCGGAAAAAAATGGCGCCCGCCCCGAAGTGATCGTTGTTTCGCCACGATAATTCCGGGGCTCGGCCGCAGGGCTTTGATGCTTTTGTCTTTTTTTTATTTTTTAATATTTTATTTTTATCGATGTCCTGTGGCAGTTCGGTGTCCGGGCGCTTTATATATATAAAGATATATATAAAACGCCCGGACACCGAAGAAAAACGCCAAAGCATTGCTCAAAATTTTATACTTACTGTTCAATCAATAATAATAATAATCTCAACTCGTTGGTTGTATAAATAACACTCCATTTCTCAAATTTGAAAAAAAACTTACTCATTACTTTAATGGAGTATCGCGCAGTTATTAAGTTCCTTGTCAAAATAGAAATAACGCTGAAGGAAATATTTGAAGATATGTCGTCGGTCCTAGATTCTGGGCCTTCATACAATATGGTTAAAAATGGGGATTCATAAATGAAATTAATAATTTGAATGATACATGATGATCAAATGGAAGTAAAAAGAAATCATGGTGATGGTAAAGTAAAATAGATCAAGACATAAAAACAGACGAAGAAGTACGTATTATGGTATTATGGTCTTTTTGGTCAGCAGGAATAGAAGGTGTTATAAGAATGAATATAAGTTATAATAAGACGAGATCGCAAGAAACCAGATAAAAGGGACTCTTAAAGTTATTGTGGAATCTCGGGATTTAGCCAATCAAGGTATTTCTTTCAATATCTCGGAATTTAGCCAATCAAGGTATTTCTTTCAATATCTCGGAATTTAGCCAATCAAGGTATTTCTTTCAATATATAACACGATGTTGATTCCCATTTTAGTGAGTAGATGAGTAAACCGGAAAAGATCTATGTGATATTAAACTAGGGAAAAAATAATTAAAAATAGAAATTTGAAAGGAACAATTGCGAAATTCGAATGCATCGATCAACCGTTACGTGCTTACAATTGTATTTATACATTAATTTATAAAGATTGATTGTATGTTTATATTTATTAAAATAGTGTTTCTTGTATATGGAGCCGTGGTAGCTCAATGGCCTTAATTCAATAAACTCGAGCAACCTGAGTTCAGTCCCTGGTGCCAGCACCAAGAAAATTGTTAATTTCAAGTGCTGACTTATCACGTGCACACCGGTGAAGGAAAAGCTCATGAGGAAACTACACGTATATTCTAAATAATAACAAAAAAAAATGCAATAATAAAATTTATTTCGAATAATAATAATAATAGTGGGGTCGCGTGTACTATCCGTTAATACCCCCTGTACCAAGGCATTTGCCCAGCTGTGGGACATATATAGGCTGTTAGGACATATAGGCTATTACTTTTCTATGCTTACATTCCGACAGTGGCCTGTGTTGTCGAGAACAGCGGATAGCCACCGCAGAAGCGGGTAACCGGGCGAGCACCACCTCTTCCAGTGTGCGCCGCGGGGTGCGATTATTTACGCGCGCGCACAGGAAAACATTAGGAGGCGGGATGAAAAGACTAATCCGCGCATTAATCTCGCGAACAAACGAGAGCCGTGCGCGCGCGCGGCACCGCAATATCGGCCGAAGGGACCGAAGGAAAAGCGCGGCCGCGCGTAAATCAAACGGGCTCAGTTTTTCCCACCTATGGGCGGGCAACGCGAGTGGCCGCACATTAGGAGCGGAGGCGACGGGGGAAGGGAGAGGGCGAGTGTCTCCGGAACAAAAACCGATAAAAAACCGGGGAAAAGGTCCCCGGGAACGGGCAGAAAAATAAGAATCAGACAATGGCCGCGGGGCCGGTGTACGTGTCCAGTTTTTTCCACGGGGCGGCGGTCCCTTTGTCCTTCCGGGACACCTCTTTTTTTTTTTTTTTAAATAGATCAGACGGAGAGAGGGCAAGCGAAGAGCCGGCCGCGCGGCCCGAAATATTATTGTGGATTTTTCCCGCTCAGCTTTCATAAATATTATCCCCAGCCCGAAAACACGCACGGATCGGAATCATGAATTCGTTTAGTTAAATGTGAGACGATAAGGCCTCACCGGCGGCGCGCTTCTATTATTGTACTGTACGAATTAAAATACGAATATAATTAGACTCTTCGAAAAAACGAGGAACCGCGCCGGGCCCTAATGAAATCCCACTGTTTTCGAGATAATGAATTGAAAACAGGAGATTGTCGCGTCCGGTGTTTTTCTTTCCGCGCGCTCCTCTCTCATTGCGATTCAGGCGGCGATCGCGAAGAGCACAGACTGAAAAGAGGAAAAAAAACGCAGAAGCGTTACGAAAAACAAATTTAATATATTAATTAAGGCTTATTCTATTTTTCCACGCTTATCTGGCCCGCTGCTGGGTCGCTATCGCGCGCCGGGCACGTAACACGTAATTTCTCATACGTACGCGCGCCGCGAAAAAAGAGTTTTAATTAAAATCACAATTACACCGCCCCGGGGCTAATGCTTCATCATTATTTTTTCGTTACATCCCCCTCTCTCTGTTCGCTTTAATTATCCATCGGTCTGATAATTTCCGACGATAATTAGCGTGCACCGCCTTGCCTCTGCTAACGCGTAGTTTCTACTAACTGCTGCCCGCGACTACGTCTGCGTAGAGTAAGTAGCTGAAGGCGTAACATTCAGACAGAAAGTTAAGTATACATAAAAATATGTATATAAATTATAGCCTATGTCTTATTCTGATCTATATATTTGAGCTATATTATTGTAAAGTTTCATTAGAATCCATCCAGTGGTGTTTGCGTGAAAGAGTAACGAACATCCATCCATACATACAAACTTTCGCGTTTATAATATTAATAAGGATGTTGAAATTTGCCCCCGTGGAACACCTTTGCAAACCATGTTGGCTATTGGAGATTTCTGTATTCCGTCAGAATCGGATCTAATGGAAAGCTTTACAAATTACAAAAAAGAGGATACGTAGGGAGTTTCTTTCGTCTGTTTCTTCTCCGCTAGAGGAACCATTACGAAACGGTGGTAGATTAAAAAAAAATATGACTATCGATATATGAAATGTAAGTTTCTTATGTCGATGAATAATTTTTTTTTATACTCACTTCATAGGCTTTTATTAATGTATTAGCAGCGGCTCCTAGGGTCGTGGGTTCTATTTTCACTCGAGTAAACTATTTGTGTGACCAACAGATGATTGTTTCTGATCTGGGTGGTACTCCACGTGAAATGCATGTATATATACATTCTTACAACACAGGATTATGTTAACCTTCGGAAAGGGGTTGTTAATTTTTTTGGAGGGAAGACTACGGTAGATCTCCTAGGTAGTTGGGACTTCCAACTTCCAACCCTCCACACAAAGTACAATAAGAAAAAAAACTGGCGATTGCACATTGTGACTTGAACAGTGTTCTACCAGGCACACTTCCTCTGAAGTATTGTCACCTTTTTTTTTTGACCGACGACATCGTAAGAGTCGCGGGCATCCGGTGGATGCAAATGGCAAAGTGTCATTCGATGTTTCATACCTCCCAAGGGAATGCTTATCGTGCGTTGTCAATATAAGACATGAATAACGTCGTCGACGCTTAAGTACAGTGCTGAAAATGGAGCGCGGAACGCCTATGCAGTCGGACGGATAGACCCAGTTTCGAAAGAGGATGGTGTTTCGAGAGCGTCACACTGTACGACAGCGATTGGTTCGGTCGTGTCTCCAAGAAAAAAGTAGTGTGCAACGCAGTGTCTCAATTAAAATGGTTTGAATAGCCACTAGAGTCTGTCTAACTCCAATTGGCATATTGGTAAGGCCAATGATATTGCATACAAAAATGTGACACTAGCGTACCGAAATTGAGGTACTCAAATTACTGTAATTAGATTGTAATTCTATAGAATGCTATCTCTTTCCATATCATACGTTCTATATTATATTCTAGCGCATAATATTGTGCAGTGAAACAATTTTTAAAGACGCCATATAGATGACGTATGCCCAGAATGGACATACGTCATCTATATTTTTATTTTATTTTTGTTTTACTTTTATTTTTTGTGGACATACGTCATCTATATTATTAAACATTCTATTGTCTATAGTATAAGGCTATCAAAATCTGGAGTTTACACGCACACTACTTACTGTCTCATTTGATCTGTTTAATTCTAAACTGACTTCTTCCTACTGTTCTCACACACCTAAGTGAGGTCGGTATGACATTTTTTTATGCAAAAAGTTGTCAAACGAGCAGACGGTTCACCTGATGTTAAGTGAATACCGCCGCCCGTGGACATCTGCTACATCCGAGGGTTCCAGATGCGTTGACAACCTTTTGAAAATTGGGCTCCGGCTACTTCACTCACCAGACGGAACGCGAAAGTATTTGTCATACTTCCACTTTACGCTGGTCTTCTGTGAGGTCGTGGTAGTTACCCGGACGGGCCGAGGCTGCTGCGTGGCCCTGTAACCATCGTATTAATGATGTTTGAATCATGTTGTTAATGGTATCCCGCCTGAAATCGATCCTCCTTGGGAATAAACACCCAAATCTAGGAGGATTGTCCATGGGTCACACATATAAGTGTATAATTAGGCCCACGAACCACCGTGCCGAAGCCAGTGAATAACTAATATTGAAATCGAAAACACAAGGGATACTCTACTTAACAGAAACGTTACGCGTGCGACACTTCAGTAAAAAAAAAACAACCTAACACCGCCTCCAATCAACGCCACCGACCCCAAAGCGGTCAAACGCACCGCGCTCGGACAATTAATAAAAATAACCCGCACGGGTAAAAAAAGAACCGCCAACGGAAACATCACAATATATTCACTAGAGGCGGAACAAAAAGGCACCCGACGAGACCGCAAGGGATTAAAATCGTAACGAACGCACAAAAATATCCAAATACAATACTAACAAATTGATACAAACACTCATTAGGCACGGAAGGCGATCCGGTCGGGGGGGCGGCGGGGTGGTACGAGGGGAAAGGGGTGAGGGGGGGTAGAGACACCCCGCGGGCCCGATCTCCGCTAACATACCCATTCACATCCAGCGTACAAATATTATCTAAAATTCCTTCTCATTTATAATCCTTTTGTGTCCTCGGCGGCAGTGTCCTCCGTCAAATCCACCCCGTGCGGACCCCACCCCCACCCTACCGACCCCCACGGCGGGGGGGTATTTTTATATTTTTAATCGCGTCGGGCATTATCCAAATGGACATCGTCGGTCCCACTGTCGGTGCCGTTCCGATGATAAATCCCTTCTTCGTTCGCCGACCGCCGCGTCCCCTCGCTCTCCGCTATCGGCTCCGCACCGGGAGCGACACGGCGGAGGACAGAGAGAGGGAGTGGAAAAAGCGGCCTCATTAATTAACGACGGATCCGTCTGCGGCTGGCTGACGGCATTCCTTTCGGTCGCCGCGACATGCAATGGCGGGAGAGCACGCGAACTAGTGAACCCCACCAAAGATGTCGACTTTTTAAGGAACGTCCAAAAGCCAAACCAGAGGTTGCCTCCTTTTGAACCTTGGAATGTTTCAACTCGCACATCTTCCTTCTAGGATCGTCGCTACGTCTTTCCCGGACCAACGTGACTATTGACGTTCGAAGATTTCGATTCAAGCTACCGGATGTGCGAAAGCCCGGCGCTACGGCACTACGCCCCGTCCGCCACTTTCGCACGAAATGAGAATTGATCGTAACTTTTAACCCCGTCGTAAGCTGCAACACTCCGCTTTATCGAATAAACCCGACATCTCGCGTCTGCCTGTGATCGATGGCCGTTCGGAGGCTGTTGATTGAACGCGCCATTTCTTTTATTGTTAACCCGCCGCAATCTTCGCCCGTAGAATTGAGCTTTCTGATAGTATAAGCGACATCAATAATGATTTCTTTCATTGAAGCCAATTTTAGGGCGCAGAATTTGGTCAACTGGTTAGCGGATTTTGATAGCGCCGAGTTTAAAATAATCAGCTGATGGTTACGAGTCATAGAAGTTTTTAATTAATATTAGACCAGAAGTTAGAGAATTGAATTTAATTCGAAGAGATTGTCTTTTTTGTGTTGGAAAATTTTAAAGTATCTCTTTGCGTTCGCCTGAGTACCATATTTATTGAGAATGAATTTATACGCTTTATAATCGTGCACTAGACCCTAAAGAATTTAGCTGTGATCAAAAATATATAGTAAAGTATCAGCTTATACATTTGGCAAAGGCCTTCTCTGTACAGAGAGTATTAGGGCATAGTCCACCATGCGGCCCCACTGCGGATTGGCGGACTTCACACATCTTCGATTTTTTTTTTAATTTTGAAAATACGCAGGTTTCCTCTCGATGTTTTCCTTCGCCGCTGAGCACGTGATAATTCAGCACTTAAAATTGACAATTTCATTGGTGGTGGCACCCTGCATCGAACTCAGGTTGCTCGAGTATATTTCGATTAAAGGCGAGCGCCCGGACACTGAGCTATCACGGTTTATAATATAGTATAGATTAGTTTTTAATTTAACACAGGACGTTTATAGGCATTGTGAAGTCGAGACGGTTTGATTCCAGACGAGTACAAATAAGTTCCTCACTTTCGAATTTCTTAAAAAGATCAAAGTGTCAAATCGGTATATGTGCTTAATTAGTGCCCTATTTGAATTAAAAGCAGAAGAATACCACTGTCTTTTGGTGCAAATAATATAAAAATGAGATATCTCTCAATAAAATTATAATTTGCATATTGCCCGCCTCCCCTTGGAAACAATAAAACCAATGGGATTCCGTACAATGCATTCGAACGGAAAAATTGAAATATCTTCCGTGACATTAATTTCGAAAAAAGTTTAATGGTACCGCAATCCCGCGGACCGATAAAACGTATTACCCTGATATATTATAGAAAATTTTGAATATTTAGGGTGTCCACGAGGCGGATCTCTAGAAGGAATATGTTCAAATTGCTTAACAAAAGAACTTCAGGAACAAGAAAGGTCAATTGACCTTCCTTGTTTTTTGATGATCTCAAAATTTTATGCAATTTATGGATCAATTCGTACTTAACTGTATCTTATATTGCACTATCAGGTTAAACCTTAGTTGGTGGTAAACACTTTAACTAACTGGAAGCGTATAAACTTTTCTTGAAGAAAACCACGTAATCGAACCTGAAGAAAGACGCAGATAGATCGTAACACTCCTTTGTTAAAGGTGTTTTTGTTAAAAGATGAGCTGCGAACCTCTTGACTCGAATGTACACCACATTCGAGTCAAGAGTTCGCCAACAAAATGTACTAACGCCTGCTGAGTACCTTGCTACCGCCGGCTGAAGGGGTCATACAATCCTCAACATATCCTGAAGCAGTTTTTCTACTGTGTACCCAACTGTTTGGTCTGCCAACGCCGCTCGTGAAGTCCTCTGGGACTTGACCACCGTTTTTCCCGCAGCACGGTTTGGGAACCACAGTACGACGTTCCCCTGTCCCGTTTTCGCGGCAAGGAGGATGTATCTACTACCGTGTGATCCTTTTATTGCTCGGTCAGAGCGAGTATAGGAAAGCGATACTTTTTGCTTTATGAAAAACGACGGAGAGTATGCAGCGGGTAGCGGGCAAGAATTAATGTAGCGAGACCTCGGCGGGCTTGCGCGGGTCCTATTTATGTGCACGGTCTTTGGGATGCCGCGACAAGATTAAAGACCGGTCGGCCGATCGGTCGGTCGTTTGAAGTGTGAATACAATTATATTTGCAGCTCTTTGGACTTAGTACGATCGTGAATAAAAATCGAGTTGTTCCATTAACTTCACCGACGTCCCAAGCATCTATGAGTTTACAATCGCTCGGTGGTAGCATAATTTGTGTTGCGGTTTTAGGAACACAAGTTTCAGATTTTTATAGTCATAACGTAGAACCGCTTCGCAAACTAATACCAGTCTAGAGGAGAATCGACAAAGGACGCTATGGTCTTTTAAACAGCACCTTTATGGACTAGCTGAATATGAAAGACATGGAAAAACTTCTAGTACGTCCCCAATAATTGGTTGTGTATACTATACATATAACGAAATGTAACAAACAAGCACCTAGACAATAGTTATTAGTTCATCATATAAATTTTCTCGAACCTGATGGGGGATGGAAACCATGATCTTGGACACATTAATCTATTATTTACAATTGCAACCAATGTCTCCGATCCAACTTTGATATCAGTTTTCCATAGAAACCATTCATTTCGAGCTGCCGAGGACTGATTATTAGTTCTTAAGTGCTGTTGTATAACAAATGTTTTCATACAATGTTATGCATACAATGCATATTATTCGAAAGCAATGGCTTCTCAAGTTGAACGAAATGAAGCGACGTTTATAATGAACAATAAATAGAACTAAATTATAGAAGGTAAATTTTTAATAACACTTCTGTAACACCTAGCGGACGAGATAATTCGAACGCGAAAGGTGTTTTGTAATTGCAAGCTGTTGCCAATGTTATAGCGTTTACAAAAGCAATACTGCCTTTTATATAGCTCGCGTGCTGCGCTGCCATATTGCGGATTGTTTGACTTTGGGTCTCGGACTCTTTGGGTTACCTTACGATTTTCTCCCGTTACCTATTTAGACTGGCAACAAAAATAGTATAAGATGGGAATTTATCATTTCATTGATGCTGCGAATTAAATATAGGTTACTCGAGTAGTACAAACTTATATTACTCGAGACATATATAAAGTGGTGGTCATATAATTACAAAATGACTCTTACACATGTAGGGTTTCATTTTCTGTTACTGGCCGCTTGGACGCCTAATTAGAAACTTTTAAAAAAAAGCATCCATAGCTCGTTCTTTTCTTGAAATTGGAGAATAACATTTCTTTCTTGGCTCTTTCTATTATTTTGGCGGCAATTCAAAATTTAATCTGAATTTTATTATGTTTAAAATGGGCAAAAATAAACTTTGTGACGCGTCAACTAGGCAAAAAATTGTTAATTTACATATAAATTTAAATTGTTCTGTTAAGAAAGTTTTTAATGCAATTGATCATTTTAAAACACGTGGAACTGTTGAAAATGTTCTTAGAAAGGCTCGGCCAAGAAAAACCTTTCCCAGAGAAGATACACTAAACGTTTGTGTTGCTAAAAAAAACTCAGCAGATTTAAAATGGAAGTTTATCGCCTGATGACCCGAGAAACATCTCTTAAAGACTGATACGTCGAAGATTAGTGGAAGCTAAATTGTTTGGAAGAATCTCTCGAAAGGTGCCGCTTACCAAGCAGCACCGAGAGAAGCGATTATTGTTCGCTTAAAAATATGTTAATTGGATCGAATCTTTTCTTCCATTTTTCTAAAAATTCTCAATTTCATCCTAATTGCGCGTAATAGCACTATAGACATTGATGTTATTGAAATGCGTACACGTTAAAAATATCCATCGCATTTAGGGCAAAATCTAGGCCCGGAGTGGTATTAGAGTTAATTTGAACATATGCACAGTTCGTCTGACTTCTCAAACGATGGTCACTACAATATAAGTATGTAAAATCATATTCAAATTACACGTTCGTTCATCTGAATATAAAAATAGAAATTAATAGCAACATTATCTCATTGACTCAGGGTGCCAAATACTATTTTACTTGGGCAGACATAGGATTTTATAACTTTAACCTTTTAGGTTAGAATAGGATTCTTTTTTATTTATTTCTAGGTCACTTTTTTCAATAGTAAAATGAGTTAGGATCATTAAGAAAAAAATAATGCGAGTATATAGTGAATTCAATAACAACGCCATCTACCACCACATCAGTATAACTTATCTATATAAATCACTCAACGTGTTTAAAAATCTTACACCAGATGTCGTTAGAGGAACTTTTTGTAACATAATTTTCTTTATTAAGGTATACGGTTAAAATTGATTTAGTTTTTGATAATGTCTATTATTCGAAGTCTTTTCGACTATTTTTTTTACAGGAATATTTTATATGTTATGTCAAATTATTTTTTGAATTTCAGTTATAAGAACCACGACAATCACGCGAAAGGGGTTAGTAGTGATTAAAACAGTTTAAAAATTTAATAATAATATGAATGACAATAATCCTTTTGTAACTGCAAAATAAAGTCACCATGTTCTTATTAACTATAAAGATCGCATAATGAAATTGGAAACGAATTTACCCTATTTAAATTATTTAAATATGATATTTTTTTAAAGAAATAATAATAAGTACTTTATTTTAATGTACCTACTTATCAAAATAATTCCCATCGATGAAAGAACGAAATAAATAAATTAAATATTTTGTGTTAAATATTTTTATGTGATATTAGTGTCAACAGATGGCGGTAGTTGTATTTTAGAACGCGCTATAGTTAGGTTCTTGTGGATTCATAAATGTTTGAATGGAATTTTTGAAACGCAATTTTAAGTGCTGATTTACTATAGTAATATTTTTGTATATACGACGTTCAGTTGAACCGTCGTTATTAAATCCTTTATTACGTCTAATTTGAGAATAGAAAAATATCAATATAGATATTTTCCTTTTAGCTTTTGCTGTCTAATCGAAAATAAAAACGTATGCCAATAAGTATTACATATGTTTTGAATGTGCGGGCTATATTTTATCGATGTGCTTTTACCCTTAGCAAAAATAGAAAATAAGTAAAGTTTAAAAAAAACAAACACGGTTTTGTAGATATCTGAACAAAAATAGAAAGTAATTTTCATTTAATTTAAAATATGAATAGTGTGATTAAGAAAAAAAATATTGCATAAAAGCGTGGGGTGGGGTGCATTTTAAGATGTTTCCATTATGACTACTTTTACTATTATACTGTATATAGGTACTGCCATTAAAATCTTATAACAATGGACTCCGATCACCCCGCAATTTATTTTTCTTAATCACACTATTCATAATTTAAATTTCTTGAAAATTATTGCCCGTGCGGGTCGCCAGTAACGTTATAAATGTGAATGTAAGTTTGTTTGTTACGCTTTCACGCAAAAACTACTCAACCGATTATCATGCAACGTTTATACACATATTCTTAGAGGTATTAAAAAGGATAGGATTATTTTTATTGAAAACAATATATATTTAAAATAAAAAGATATTTAAGGGCTTTATAATGCGGGACGTAAAGCTAGTAACAGATATTTTCCAGTGGTGCTTTTAAAGTGATTCGACTTTTCTACGATCAGAGACCAATCCACTCGTGTCCCTTTGCAGAAGCTTCTCGCTGGACGAAAGGTTCCTGTACTCCCAGGGCGAGGTCCGGAGGGTGCACTGGCACCCCAGCTCCCTCTCCCACGTGCTGGTGTTGCTCTCCGACAACACGATCAGGTAAGAACAGAAAAGGTGAGAAGAATGATTAATGCTTTACACGTTCCATATGATTTGTAACCTATTAACGAAGTTACGCTCAAGGGGACGTGAAATTTGGCATTGTTAAAGTCCATATGGGGATAGAGTGTTAAATGTAATGTGAGCTACTAATGTATTAAAGAAATTAAATCAGTATTAGTTGCTTACATCCTGTGGTAGTGCCATGCAACAGTGTTCGCTGTTGCACGATTGGGCAGGTCCATCCGGGTAGTACCACGACCTCATAGAAGACCGGTGTGAAGTAGAAGTGTTTTCGGCGTTTCGTCTGGGGAGTGAGATAGCCTGGGCCCACTTTATTTAACGGTGGCAACGGGTGTTGCAAATATCCGTGGGCGGTGGTTATCACTTAACATCAGGTGAACCGCCAGCTAGTGTATCAAACTTTCTCACATAAAAAATAGTCCAATTTATTGGACGTTAGACGGTGTGAAGTTCTAAGATGTGTTTTGAAAAATAAAAAAATACGTAAGTCAACAGTATGGGTCAAATAATCACTTAGATTAGAATATTAAAATAAATAAACTACGGTTTCCACATGAAACTAGGTCATGGTTTCGCGGCAGGTGGGATATAGTCAAACGCCAACTAAACTGAATTAAACAAAAAAATATCTTGCCGAAGTTTGTGAATGGTATCAAGTAAGTCTTTAAATACGTCAGACATTTTGTACTGGTATAAGAACTTTATTTGCATGAAAATCAAGATATATTTCTATATAAATAATTTTGCTGTTGTTTAAATATTAATTGCACGTAGCAGTTCCACACTATATGCATGATCGGACACCATATTTTTGTAATCGAATTATTTTAAAGGAAAATTTAAGCTTCCCACTAATTCAAAAATCATGTCAGTATTTTTCGTCTTTAATTGGCTAGTACTTGAGTGTCTATCCCTCTCTATTATCGATCAGTCTTCTATCTTTTTTTTTTATTTGATAAGTTGCCAAATGACCAGACGGTTCATCTGATTTTAAGTGAATACCGCCGCCCACGAACATCTGTTACAGAGGGTTCCAAATGCGTTTACAACCTTTGAAAATTGGGCTCCGGCTACCTCACTCACCAGACGAAACGCGAAAGTAATAAACTTCCACTTTACGCCGGTCTTCTGTGAGATCGTGGTACTTACCCGGATGAGCCCGACGAAAATCCTTTACCCAGACGAGCCTGCCCATTCCTGCAACAGCCGAGACTGCTGCGTGGCCCTACCACCGTGAAGTTATAGTAGTAGTAAATTCACTGTCTCATTAAAATCTGGTTCCAGGCTGTACAACATAGCCCTGAAGTCCGGTCCCAAACTAGCGAAGGTGATCGCGATAGGGCCGAAGCCGTGCAGCCAGTTGGCCGGAAGAACGATCCTGGACAGCCTCGGAGACACCGCCGTGGACTTCACCCCGCTCCCGGACTCCGACAGCCTGCTGGTGCTTAGGGGGGACGGAGAGGTTTACATGGTGCAGTGCTCTTTGGATGCGAAGAGGTGAGAGAGGCGAGTGCTCGGGAGAGTGTAGTCTACTTTTGATGCGAGGAGGTAAGAGAGGCGAGTGCTCGGGAGAGTGAAGTACTGTTTGGACGCGAAGAGTTAAGAGAGGCGAGTGCTCAGGAGAATGCTGTATACTCTTTGAAAGTTGAGAGGTAAGAGAGCACCTAGATGACAGCGCTCCGGATATATAGGTAAATGCTTCCGGCGTGAAGAGGCGAACGCTATATAGTCTTAGCATCGTTACACCGTTTGTGATTTAGTTTTTACGAACGTGATTTAGTTCTAAGAATTTATTTTTAGTTCTAGTCTTTTAACTTTCGGTTCCTGCATCATCCGAGTAACATGCTGTGACATATACACATAGTTGGTAAAGTTTGTGGCGAAGATGCAGGTTCGAATCCTGCAGCGGCGAAAGTTTTTGTCCATTCGTCTAAAAAATTTAAATTGATACACCAATTGATTTAACATGGTGATGCTGAATTTTAAGTCTACCGCACTATGTACTGAGTTTCATACGTTTCATTTCATTTCAGACACGTATGATATCATTTCATTTCGTACCGGAATTAAACGACATTAATACGCGGCATTTGAGGCGTTGAATTTCCGCCATAGCTAGTAAGAGATACATCTATAACCACTGTTCTAGGCTCTAAATTCTAATGAAGTGGAAAAGGTTAGAGGCCTAGGGCGTCTGAACCCGCTAGCAATTGCTTAAACATATTTCTTCACAGCTTCTAATTTCCAGATCCAATAAAGCGCTTCGCTTTTCGTACTTTCCGATTCCGCCCTTAATTTTTCCGACCGGAATCGCGAGTGGTGTGCAACATTTTGCAGCAGTTTTATCTTTCTTTTTATATAAGAACATGACAAGCGAGATGGCGGTTCACCTGATGTTAAGTGATAACCGCCATGGACATGTGTAACGCCCTTAGGGTTGCAGACGCGGATAGACCCTCTCATATATATAGTCTATAACACTTCACGCCGCTTTTGTGAGGTCATGGTACTTCCCCGGACGGAAGCCATACGTGTAAAACAGGGTAGACTGCTGCGTGGCCTTATCCCCCAGAGAATATCTAAATTCTATCAAAAATCTACAACTCGAAAAACAGCCAATACCATTAATAATTAAATATACAATTGATGGTTGGCGGTTCACCACTGTGCGTTTTTCACGCAATTTTCTGCCCCGCACAGCTACTTTTTGGAACTAGTTGTCGCCAGCGGTATTTCCGGGCCGATACGATTTAGAGACCTTCAACAAAAGAGCTCTGACGTTGCAAGTGCTGCAAGCTCTCACGGTGGTAGGGCCACGTAGCAGCCTCGGCTGTTGCACCAATGGGCAGGCTCGACCGGGTAAATACCACGACCTCTCAGAAGACCGGCGTAAAGTGGAAGTATAACACTTTCGCGTTTCGTCTGGCGAGTGAGGTAGCCGGAGCCCAATTTCCAAAAGGTTGTCAACGCATCTGCAACCCTCGGGTGTAGCAGATCTCCATGGGCGGCGGTATTCACTTAACATCACGCGAACCGCCTGCTCGCTTCGCAACGTTTCACATAAAAAAGTGTCCATTGCTCGTTTGCATCCCTTTTCCATTAAAAAAAACTAAACCGAGAGAAAGGCCGGCCCTGACACTCACTCATGGGCCCTACCACTTCTACCGGCAGCGGTACGCAACCGCGGCTGTCGGGCCCGCTGCCCATCTACCCCCCGGCCGACGACAACTACGGCTCCGAGTCGTGCTGCATCGGCGTGCTGGGATCCGGTGACGCGCTGGTGGTGCTCATCGCCACCTGCTCCGCCACCATCTACCACTGCGTGCTGCTGCCAGCCGTGAGTAATGTGTAGAAGTAAACCCTATAAAAGGGTCTCAGGTCGCTCGAGTGTTTCTAATTGAATGCGAGGACACTGACCTATCACGGCTGCAACGTAGTGTCGCGCATGTCGACATGCGTGCTCTGAACTATCTATTCAAAATGTGTCGCGATTGGCTTCTTGCGCCCTCAGTCCGTGAAAAGGCCCTGTTTCCACTGTCTGTATAGAGCCTGTTTATGTAGAGTATCACATGTGTACATGCGGACACTGGACGTTCGATTCAAAATGTGTTACGACTCACTTCTTGCGCTCTCGGTCCGTAGCAAAACGTTGTCTCCACCGCCCCGATGGAACCTCTCTATAGCAAGGCGCTGTCTCCACTGTCTATTGAACATCTCCTCGTGCATGCGGACATGCGGGCACTAGTTTCTTCGCAATAGTTTCTTCTCTCACGCTTTTACGTTCTCTCTTCCAGGCTGCCGAAGAAGACGGGGAAGGGTATGCGCTGTACGTGATAGAATGCGTGGAGCTGGGAACTCAACCGCCGCCGTCAAATGTGGACCCCTCCCTGCCGATCTTGGGGGAAATGGACCCTCAGCACTCCTACCCGGTCCACATCTACCCGGTGAGCTTTGGCCTCTTTGTGTTTGCGAGCGCAAGTTGACAAGGTGTTGACTAGCGCCGGGTCGTACGTGCTAACAACACGGGATAGCATTATCCTATAGTAAGGGCATTGTTTTTAATTTAGAAAGTATAAATGAATGGTTACAGAGCATTTAATAGGCGAATTTATTTAGAGAGTTGTGACATATGTCTATGATATGGTTGACTAGCTGCTGCCCGTGACTACGTCTGCGTAGAATAGGCTAAAGGCGTAACATTCAGACGGAAAGACAGATATTCAATTATAGCCTATGTCTTATTCTGATGTATAAGCTATATTATTGTAAAGTTTCATTAAAATCCATTCAGTAGTATTTGCGTGAAAGAGTAACAAATATCCACACATACATACAAACTTTCGCGTTTATAATGTTAGTAAGGATGGTAGGTATAAGTTACTTTAATGGAGCCACACAGAAGACCGGGGCCGAATCTTTTTCACAATACAATATGTACCTTAGCTGGGACTTAGTTATATTTTTAGTAATAAAATTTAGTAAGCGAAAAGGCGGTAATCAACTGCCGATTGAACAACACTTGCGGTGGCAACTATCGAGTCATTGAAACTAGAACGAAATGTAAATTATAATTCAGCACATGAAATATCGAAAAATTGATGACGCTCTCAGGATTCGATCCTGTGTTCTCAGAGTGACGCCCCCAGACTCTAGCCAACTAACCCGAAATTTACTTTAATTAGCAACTTTACCAAGTGAGCGATTTAGCAATATTCCATACTCTCAAGTAACATTTTACAATAAATTTTAATGATTACATAATGTATTGCGGTTTTATATTATTCCGAATGATAAACGCCATCTAGTGAGCGACTTAGCAGTACGCCACACTCTCAAATAACATAAACAGTCAATTTACAGAGTACAAAATGATAATGTAACTAGGCAATGTGTAATATAATATTGGAAATATTTAAAATTAATGTGAACATAACATAAGTTAAGTGAAGGTCTGTGTAGCATTATGATAATGTGAAACGGACGGGACTCAGTCAAAGCCGAGATACAGAAACTGAACTGATATATCGTGTTTCTTTATTATTCCGAATTTTGATGACTCCGTGGCGCAGATGCGAATCTATTGGCTTCGGCGTCGGAGGTCGTGGGTTCGATTCCCACACGGGACAACTATTTGTGCGACCCACAGATAGCTGTTTCGCATCTGGGTGTTTGTCCGCGTGAAGTTTACTTTTATAAAACGTCCTTACAACACAGGATAATGTTATCCTAAAGTAAGGGCAATGTTTTAAAAAAAAATTAAAGAATTAAAAGGCAATATACAGCGTGTCTTTACAATCGCGACAATAATTGAACACACATATACGGGATAACTTTTTAAAATTGTATTAAACATTTAAATTCTTTAAACATCAATATTTACAGAGTTATTAAATTTTCCTAAACAAAGAATTTTAGAACACCCTTACCTATAAAAGCGTAACGTAAAGTTCATTTGTAAAGGTCACAAAACATATGAATGGGTTGAATGAATTTAAAAGAGACAAAACATACTGTTAGAAGGAGAGGCTTGTAATGCGACGCTGTGGCGCGAGTTGTATAGGATGTTATAAATTTTGTTTCTTTTTTTTTTTAATGAGTTTGTTTGAAAAATATGTTTTTTTAATTACGGATTTTGTTTAACGTTCATATTTTTTTATGATTATTGGCAAGTGGCGTTAGACGTGTGTTCATTTATTGTCGCGATGGTAACGACACGCTGTATAATATAATATTGGAAATATTTAAAATAAATGTAAACATAAGTAAGTGAAGGTCTGTCTAGCATCATAAGACCGTAAACGAAAGTCGAGATTCTGAGACTAAGCCTCGTTCTGATACCGACAGTGATATATCGCGGTCCTTTATTATTCCGAATGACAAACTAATTACGAAGGCTGCGGCCGGGGGATGGAAAAAAATGCAAAGTTAAACTTAAATCTAATTATTTTATTATATAAAAATTACAAGTTAACTACATTTCTAAGGGAGGTGACAGTTGCTCGATGTTAGAGACAAAAGTGACGTTTGCTGTGATGCTTTGGACCGTTCCGGTGTCCAACACCTGTGTTGCGCAATATATAAGTGTCTCTATATAAGTGTCTCTATATAAGTGTCTCTATATAAGTGTCTCTATATAAGTGTCTCTATATAAGTGTCTCTATATAAGTGTCTCTATATAAGTGTCTCTATATAAGTGTCTCTATATAAGTGTCTCTATATAAGTGTCTCTATATAAGTGTCTCTATATAAGTGTCTCTATATAAGTGTCTCTATATAAGTGTATCATCTATGCGCAACCACTTCGTATCCGTGGGATTACGGGCGACGGCGCGTAGCACGGAATAAGCAATCCCTTGAGAATGGTGGTAGGGCTCTTACGGTGGTAGGGCCACGCAGCAGCCTCGGCTGTTGCACGAATGGGCAGGCCCGTCCGGGTAAGTGCCACGACCTCACAGAAGACCGGCGTAAAGTGGAAGTATGACAAATACTTTCGCGTTTCGTCTGGTGAGTGAGGTGGCCGGAGCCCAATTTTCAAAAGGTTTTCAACGCATCTGTAACACTCGGGTGTGGCAGATGTCCATGGGCGGCGGTATTCACTTAACATCAGGTGACCCGTCCGCTCGTTTGGCAACTATTCGCATAAAAAAAAATGGAATGTCGTAGCTGGGTTGGTTGCAGTGTAGGCAATTTCCGGGATGTGTAATTGTGTAACAAACTAACAAACAAACCGCGTGTGTCCAGTGCGGTGGCAGCACGTACGCGTGTGTGCACGCTAGCGGCGTGCACACTGTCACTCTGCCGGCTTTGCAACGCCTGCGCCACTACCTCGCCGCGGAGACGGGTATCTTTTGACATCTTTTACCTTTTGCTGACCACCTTTTCCCATCTTTTACCCATTACTTTCGCTGATGACTCAAATTCAAATGAGAATATGAGAATACATTATATTAGGACAAATTTTTCACACAACGTTTTCTAGTCCCAAACTAAGCGTTGCTTGTACTATGGGTACTATATAACTGATAAACATACTTAAACACGCAGTCACTAGAAATACACTATGCTCATCACACAATATTTTTCCAGTAGTGGGGATCGAACCCACACCCTCTGACGCAGGAGGCGCAAACTACCCACCATGCCATTCAGGTCGTCAAATGGTCTCTTTTTGCTTTATGGTGTCTTTTTATGATTTGAAGAACATAAAAAAGCCTCTTTACGCCACATGTGAACGCCGTATAGTCTATTATTTCTCCTCTTCTTCTCTTACATAAATGACTTACAAACTATTATTTTTTTTATTACAAAACTGGCCAGCACTTGCTGCCATCCCACCCGATGGTGCGTGGCGGTGCAGCCGTTGATGGTAAGCGAGAAAGCTTCAACGAGCGCAGAGACCCCGAACTGTTTCGAGTGCGTGTCGAGTTTATTTAAAAGAAAAACTTAATTTTCGGCCCGCACAATACACATGTCCCGCTGTTGGGCGCAGGCTAGCTCCGTACGGATGACATTAGAGACACTTTCGCACGTTACTGTGTCAAGAATATACACATTCGAGCGTAAACCCGCAGAGGAGGCGGAGGGCCTGGTGGGGGGCGTGTGCGCCGCCGGCAGCCGCGCCCGCCACGTGGCGCGCACCGGCCGCGCCCCGCCGGGGCTGGCGGCGGTGCGGGCCAACTCGCCCGCGCTGCTGCTGCTCTGCCCGGACGGCGCGCTCATTGCCAGGTGACACTTTCACTTTCAATTTCACTTTATATTTCACTTCCACTTCCACTTCCACTTTCACTTGCAACTCTACTTTCACTTTCACTTCCACTTCCACTTTCACTTGGAATTCTACTTTCACTTTCACTTCCACTTTCACTTCCAAGTCCAATTCCACTTTCACTTCCACTTTCACTTTTGCCGCTCCTCCTGTGACCGTACGACGCGCTGCTCTCGAGGTGAAACTTTCATTTTCACTTACAATTTGATCGATGTCTCCGCTTCTCAGTCCGCGAACTGTTTAAACTTCGACAAACACAAAAGTGGTACTTACAGGAACCGACGACGGTACGGCCCTCGACGTTGGGTAACGCGCATGTTAACATGCGTGCGCTATTTAACGGGGAAATCATCGCTCGAGGTGCACGCACACACACACGAACGGACGCATGTGAAGACAATACGCACGCAGTTGTGTGCATGCAAACTCGCAAGCGTAATGTTACCGCCTTAACTGCATGTCGCACGCTGGGTGCATGGAGGTCTACTTCCTAATTCTGTACACACCCACACACATACACACACACACATTGATTTTATGTAAAACGTTGGCAAGAGATTATTCGGTTGTGGTACCTGATGTTAAGCGACTACCGCCGCCCGTGGCCATATTAAAAGTGGGAGCCGGTTACCCCACTCACCAGACGAGTCGTAAAGTACTTTCGTAAAGTATAACACTTCTACTTCACGCCGGTCTTCTGTGAGGTCGCGGTACTTCCCCGGACGGACCTGCCCATTCGTGCAACAGCGAAGACCACGGTTGGAGTTAGTCTAGAAGTCTAGACGATTTGTATGCTTCTAGCCTATTGTAGAGAACAATATTCTCTCGTTCCAGGAGCCTGGAGGCGTATGACCTGGAGGAGCAGCTCTACAAGGAAATGCAGCTGAAGAAACCAGACATGGACCAGGACGATCTCAACAATCTGCTCAAAGAGGTGATATTAACGAAACATTGCTGTTAAGGGATATTGGGTTCGGTTCTCGTCTGGTTGTCACCACCACTGAGTTGGGGACATATACATTAAATTTATATATCTATGATATGTAAATATATTTTGTATACAAATATATACAAAAGAAAAGTATGTTTAAGTATGTTTATAAATTATATACAGCGTGTCGTTACCATCGCGACAATAAATGAACACACGTATAACGCTTCTTGCCAATAATCATAAAAAATATTAACTTTAAACATTAGACATTTGAGTTAATAAGATTATTGTTTATTCCATACAAGCGACCCGCACCGGCTACGCACGGGTGCAATGTATTATACATATAAACCTTCCTCTTGAAGCACTCTATCTAGTAAAAAAAACCGCATCAAGATCCTTTGCGTAGTTTTAAAGATCTAAGCATTCATACAGACAGACAGACAGTGGGACGACTTTGTTTTATACTATGTAGTGACGATACATGAAACAGTTTATGTTTTACATCACACACGACCTGTGGGCTACAAAGTGAATGCAATTCACTGATATTAAATTCATTCATTTGCAAAGGTCATTAATCATTCTATTAAACGTTCACTCGCAACTCATACACTCACTTTACCATTCGCTCATTCGCCCCTAAATGCTGTTCACAGAAGCAGAAGCTTTCCTTCACGTCCATCATACAAGAAGTGCTGGCCAGGGAGTCGAGCCAGCCCATTTTGCACCTGGACCATCGCGCCCAACACTCGCACCAAGATTGTCTCGAGGTATTCAAATAGACTTGGCCAGAGAATGAGGGGAGAGTGAGAGAAGAAAGAGAAGAAACAGTGAGATGTAAAATGGCAAAGTATCGAGGCGTGATGTTGCGAAGTAAATCTGTTTTTTTTATCACGAGTAAACCATAAAATTGTTATAATTTGGTTGGTTATTAATGGATTTTAAGAGTAATAAATTATTCCGTCACTTAAAATATGTGAAAAAACTTTTTTTATGTGAAAAATTGCCAAGCGAGCACACGGTTTACCTGATGTTAAGTGAATTTGTGGACATCTGCTACAACCGAGAGTTGTAGATGCGTTGACAACCCTTTGAGAATTGGGCTCCGGCCACCTCACTCACCAGACGAAACGCGAAAGTATTTGTCATACTTCCACTTTAAGCTGGTCTTCTGTGAGGTCGTGGCACTTACTCGGACGGGCCTGCCCATTCGTGCAACAGCCGAGGCTGCTGCGTGGCCCTACCACCGTAGAAGCTTAACCAACGCTGTGCATTTATCAAAGAGTCAGTCTGTGATCTTTGATACGGACTTTCTTTTTATCTGAGCAGCTGACAAGAGAGCCTCCGGTTTACCTGTTGTTAAATGATAACCGCCGCCCGTGGACATTCACAACATCTGTAGGGTTGCTAATGCCTTTTATTGAAGTGGGTTTTGCTTACCTAACTCACCAGACGGACGGAACGTAGAAATCTCGATATAAGGACGCCGAAAGTATATTTTCGGTTGATATAGATATTTGGATCCAATATATTGATACAAAATATTCAATATTGAAAATCGTAACGTCAGTTTGGGTAAGTTTGAACATTTTTTACAGAATTTGTGCTATTATATGATTTATATCTATTACACCTTTAATTTATGGAATGAATGGTGTCCTTTTGAGTTGGTTTATTTTGCCAAAACAATAAATTTAAGAAAAAACAACAGAACTATCCACAATTTCCCCCCAAACTCAAATTCAAAGTTATTGTGAGTTTAGGGTAACTTTGAATATAGCTTTTTTAGGATTTAAAAACCATCATTATTCGAATATTTTAAGATTTGGGTAAAATAATATAACGTATTTTCATGAAATCAAACCTTATCTCTAAAAATTACATCTAAATTAACGTTTAAACTTGTATTGAAAGATTTTTTTTTTTTTACTTTTCGTTATTTCAAAACATTTTGCCGAACGTTTTACGCAGTTACGCTATTGAAATAAAAAATAGTTTTCGTGTAATAAATCAATAAATCTTTTTCACAACATTGTTCAAAGTTAAACCGCAATTCAAAGTTACCCAAAACGAACAGTCGTTCGATACGAATTTGAAACAAATATCGTTTTTGATACAGATCAAAAATATTTGTTTCAAATTCGTATCCGGCACAGAGTCCGTAGGCGTCGAATATTTAATACTTGACATACCATTTTTTTTGGAAAACAGGGTGACTGGGGCTGCGATTTTCTCTTGGAGACTGATATTGATATTTTTATGAATATCGATATATTACTTCACTTTCGACATCCCTAGACTGATAGCGAAACATCACAAACTCAAAACAACAGTGTCTAATTGCGACAAAATGTCACCGGCAGCTGCTGAGCCAGGCGACGTCCCGGCTGCGCGGCGAATACATGGCGCGCCAGGAGCGGGCCGGCGGAGCCCTGCAGAGGAAGGCGCTCGCCCTTCGCCGCCTCGCCGACCACCACGCCGCCTGGCGGAGGGACCTGCTGGTCACCGCTCTTCTGCTTACCGCGAGACATTAGTCACCACTCAGCATACATACGATGCGGCATTATCATCACTTAGCATACATACGTTGCGACATTTATCATCACTTAGCATACATACGTTGCGACATTTATCATCACTTAGCATACATACGATGCGACATTTATCATCACTCAGCATACATACGCTGCGACATTATCACCGCTCAGCATTAATACGATGCAACATTAAACACCACTCGGATTTCATACGATGTAACATTAATCACCACACAGCATACATACGATGCGACACCAAACACCACTCGGCGTACATATGATGTGACATTATCATCACTTAGCATACATACGCTGCTGCATTTATCACCGCTCAGCATACGTACGATACATTACCACTCAGTATATACGGTGCTACTTATTATTATCACTAAGCATACAAACGATGCGACATAAACACAACGTTTATCTTAAAATTAGTTCTTGGACACAGAAACCTACTTACTAATAATTATCTCAAATTTTTAATATAAAAGAAAATAAAAAACAATCACGGCTATGGTTTTTGTTAAATTATTTTTATAGTAAGTGAATATTTTATTAATAAGGTTCATAAGTTCAGAAAGGATATCAGTGTCACATTTTTCATTAACAACAAATTTCGCGTACGTTAAAGATGTCTTTTACCATAATTAAAACTAATTCAATATTATACGACGTTATTACCACTCAGCATACATACGATACAACATAATGCTCACTACACAGCATACATACGATACGACATATCACTCACTGCACAGTATACACATGATGTGACATACAACATGACATACTTACCATCATACAGATCAGCGGATTCACTGGATACAACTTATCACACTCTTACATGAATAATGTCCACCAAATATAATAATTCTTGTAATCGCGATATATATCACGTCTCAGTGTATGACTCATGATTCACAGTCCTTAATTCTCGTGTCCACTCGTGACATGACATGGTGACAGGTATGTCATGTAGCACGACATGACATACTTGTTACCACTTTTCCATTAAAAGTCTAATTTAGTTAAATATTTAGGTACTTTAGTAAGATAAGGTGCTGTACAAATTGGCGAATTTAACATGTTTCGAGAGTTTCCTCTCGTCACTAAACATATTTCATTTCGTGTTTTAAACTATTTTTAACTACCCTACAACTGAGGAACAATCATTTGAATATACATATTCTTTAACTACCCATTACTGATTTACGTTAGAGAGAAATCACAAAAATTTTTAAATTAATTGGGAAATTAAACAATTTGTGATCTTGTAGTCAACTATGCTTAATAATTTTAGGAGGAGATCGGTCGAGTCAAAGAAAAGGCAAAATTGTTAAAAGAGAAACGCGCCTTGGCTGAAAAACATCAGGAAGACCTCAAATACAGGTTGGTTCGAAATATCAATTTATCCATCTACCGTCCAATTAAAATTAAAAAAAAAGGTACTATACGGTCACACACAGAGATGACAATTAGTATGTAAATGCTATATAACCAGAACATTCTTTTGATTGAGGTATTTGAGAATACTTTCATGTTAAATAATTTATAAAGGGTTTATTTTAATGTTAAATATTGGCCTGCGAGTAGTTCTTCTGATGTTAAGCGAATTCCGTCGCCTTAGGATACGTAAAATTGTCGTTTTGTTAATCTTAATTAACCTGCTGGTCGTATGAGGAAGTCCAAAGTCGCTAAGACAAAATTAAGTTAACCGTAGAAAAAGATAACTGACACGGTTCGGAATATTAGTGAGCTGAAGTTGCAATTGGTCGGTCAATGGTTGGTAGAATCGATAATCGATGGGGAAGAAAGGTCTCTTCACCAGATGAGGTTAAATGGGAATTTAATCTACTGCTCCGGTGCCCAGGCCAATGTTTTAGCAACTGCTTCGACAAGTCATCACACGAGTGGTGCGTAACGAAGCTATATACGGAGTACTATCCAAGAGAGAGTTGGAACCGATGCAAATTTTTAACGGTGGTAGAGCCACGCAGCGGCCTCGGCTGTTGCACGAATGGGTAGGCTCGTCCGGGTTAGTACCACGACCTCACAGAAGACCGGCGTAAAGTGGAAGTATAATACATTGCGTTTCGTGTGGTGAGTGAGGTCTGGTAGAGTGGTGAGGAGCCAAATTTTCAAAAGGTTGTCAGCGCATCTGCAACCTTCGGCTGTAACAGATGTCCATGGGGGGCGGTATTCACTTAACATCAGGTAAACCGCCTACTCGCTTGGCAACTTTTCACACAAAAAACAGATAGGATTCGTTCCTGATATTTGGATCACCGATCGGTCCAAGAGAGACTTGTCCGCCTGACATATGGGGCAATGACCATGAGAGACTTGTCCGCCTGACATATGGGGCAATGACCATGAGAGACTTGTCCGCCTGACATATGGGGCAATGACCAAGAGAGACTTGTCCGCCTGACATATGGGGCAATGACCATGAGAGACTTGTCCGCCTGACATATGGGGCAATGACCAAGAGAGACTTGTCCGCGTGACATATGGGGCAATGACCAAGAGAGACTTGTCCGCCTGACATATGGGGCAATGACCAAGAGAGACTTCTCCGCCTGACATATGGGGCAATGACCATGAGAGACTTGTCCGCCTGACATATGGGGCAATGACCAAGAGAGACTTGTCCGCCTGACATATGGGGCAATGACCATGAGAGACTTGTCCGCCTGACATATGGGGCAATGACCAAGAGAGACTTGTCCGCGTGACATGGGGCAATGACCAAGAGAGACTTGGGCCTGAATATGGGGCAATGACCAAGAGAGACTTGTCCGCGGGGCTTGACTTGTCCGCGTGACATATGGGGCAATGACCAAGAGACTTGTCCGCCTGACATATGGGGCAATGACCAAGAGAGACTTGTCCGCCTGACATATGGGGCAATGACCATGAGAGACTTGTCCGCCTGACATATGGGGCAATGACCAAGAGAGACTTGTCCGCCTGACATATGGGGCAATGACCATGAGAGACTTGTCCGCCTGACATATGGGGCAATGACCAAGAGAGACTTGTCCGCGTGACATATGGGGCAATGACCAAGAGAGACTTGTCCGCCTGACATATGGGGCAATGACCAAGAGAGACTTGTCCGCCTGACATATGGGTCAATGACCATGAGAGACTTGTCCGCCTGACATATGGGGCAATGACCAAGAGAGACTTGTCCGCGTGACATATGGGGCAATGACCAAGAGCGACTTGTCCGCCTGACATATGGGGCAATGACCATGAGAGACTTGTTCGCCTGACATATGGGGCAATAACCAAGAGCGACTTGTCCGCCTGACATATGGGGCACTATAACCAAGAGAGACTTTCAACTTGGAACTCTCACTCCGCAGGTGCTCGGCGGTGGTGCGCCTGGCGCGCTGCAGCATGGGCCCCAGCGCGGCGGAGCGCGAGCTGCTGGCCGAGCTGCAGCGCCACCGCCGCAGCGGAGACGCTCTCCAGCAGCAGCTGCAGACGCTGCGCCAGCACGCGCACCACAAGAGCACCGAGGTCGGCTGGGGCCATCCATGACCATCCACTCAATAAAGAGCCATCCATGATCATCCATTCTTTAAATAGCTATCCATAATCATCCATTCCATAGAGAGCCATCCATAATCATCCATTCCATAAAGAGCCATCTATACTCATCTATTCCGCCAAGAGAACATTGAGTATGTTCTCTTGGCGGAATAGATGAGTAATACTAATTATCCAGCAATCGTGGAATTCCGTAGTACTCATCAAACTGAACGACAATACTGTTTATAAATGATTCAACAATTAACAAAACCCTATTATATCTAATTATAATGAATAGTTAAATGAAGAAAAAACTAACCCATTTCAGCTGAAGAAATGGCACGAGGAGTACAAGAAGAAGGATACTGCCCTCGGAAAGTCTCACAGCGACACCATTTCCTCAATACTTCAGCAGCAGTGAGTATACATTACTCTTCTCTTTTCAACCTAACAGAATAGAAAGAGATGGTTTATGAGCGTTCACTTTCTGTATCTACAATTTATAACAAGAAATTATGTGGTAGGTACAATCTCAACAGTGAGTACTCTTCTCTCTTCAATCTAACCAGAACAAAAGAGATGGCTAAGAAGTGTTCACTTTCTCTGTCTACAATTTGTAACAATATATTATGTAGCCCACCTCAACGGTGAGTCTCTTTTCAACCTAAAGAGATGGAAAGAGATAGCTAATAGCGTTCACTTTCTCTATCTACAAGGTCATTACAGTAGCCAATTTGTTGTATGTCAGGTAGAAAATAATTATAATGAACATTTATTGAAACAAACTGTAGCACTTTAACTAGTCCCGCTAGCTATTTAAGATGAAACAGTGATGAATTTCACAGTATCAAGGATGTGCCATATAAAGCTAGCGACATTTGCAATGTCATGCTGCCCCTAAAACTAGTCAAATGTGGCACAGTGAGATTTTTGTATCATTAATCTCGGAAGTGTCATGGAAATAGATAATATAATGATTTACCTCATATCAGTAACAAATAAAACTATTTCAGAGTGATTAACGGTCAATTTCAATATTCTATCTAAAGATGGATTTGGTAAAACTCGAGAAATAAATTTGATAAAAGTTGTTACATTTGAATAAACACAGTTGGTTTTGTGCCTTATGGGTGTAAACAGAAAAATGTGTATAAAATAAGTGAGAATGAACCTATGATGTGTAATCAATAACTATTCTTTATATTAACAAATTACCTATTCTTTGTAATTTAAACCGACTTCGTAAAAGGCGTTCTCAATTCTCTCTCTTTCAGGGTTCGTCGGTTGTATTATCTTTATGGTTGTTACCTCAGACTCCATCATTTATGAAGCGATTTTAAAAATTATTTTTGCATTTGTTTCGGTTTGGCTCCCATGTGGTCCTATTTTAATTTCATTGGTATTAGACCTTCGACACCGCAGGTACATTAGGGAACCCTTCAAAATCTAATATGTATAGTGAATGAGATTATTTGAAATCGCTGTAAATATTTTTTTTTTCAGAACAAGCCAAATATCATCACTCATCGAGGAGACGAAACTACTCAAGGATCAGCTCAGCATTGTTTGATTTTGTTGTTGATTAAATAAATAAAACCCTAGATTAATAATAGGAACGCCATTTTCTAATTATTACGTCTGTATTCTTCCACGGTTTTAGATTGATTTTCATAATGTGTTTAAAATTGGAGAAAAAAAATTGTTTTTATATAAAAAGTAATGATACGTATAAAAATCATCTCAATTGCATGCGTCAAAAACATTTTTTTGTAATAATTTTTAATTTTTGTGACGACTAACAAAAATGTGGTCAAATAATTAGCTGTACCAATTTTCATCTTTATCTCACCCAACGTTTATATTGACTGAACCATAACTTGTGTCGTTTTTTTTAGAACATAATAAATAAAAAAGTAACTGTAGTTTATTTTCTTATTTTTTTAACGGTGGTAGGGCCACGCAGCAGCCTCGGCTGTTGCACGAATGGGCAGGCCCGTCCGGGTAAGTGCCACGACCTCACAGAAGACCAGCGTAAAGTGGAAGTATGGCAAATACTTTCGCGTTTCGTCTGGTGAGTGAGGTGGCCAGAGCGCAATCCTCAAAAGGTTGTCAACAACGGCGGCGGTATTCACTTAACATCAGGTGTACCGTTTGCTCGCTTGGCAACTTTTTACATTAAAAAAAAAATCTCTACCAGGAGTTCGAAAACTTGTGTGATTTATATACAATAAAAAAAATGTTCTAATTCGCTTCCAAATAAACTCTAGTTTTTTATGAGTAGAGTTCGCTCAAAGGACTTGGAACTAGTCACAAAATCATTACTGTTGTCTATGGATCTACTTCTTTTTAAAATCACTTTGATTAGAATTATGGGATGTCGTCTCCCACAACTCTGATACATATTACACATAAGGGAGAAAAGTCAAATTGGCAGTGAATGTTGATAAATAACAAGTGCTCGATGATTTTAAACACCTTTATTGAGATTCTTCTCATTAGTCTTATTAAATTACATCAATAAAACATACACAGTCGTACAAAAAAAATATAACACCTTTCAAACAGTCGCTGTTTTATACAAACCGAAACAGTGCCGTGTACATGTCATCAATCCCTAAACATAACATTATTAATACAATCGAAAAAATAAGCGAGTATCGCGATTATAAATTCGAATATATAAAAACGGTTCATGGGAACTTTTTAGCGTCACGATAGACGTGGTTTTTTTTAAAAAAAATACCTACACTAATTATCATAAGTATACAGATCGTCGCGCGTGTATTTTTTTTTAAATTACACTTCTTTAGGCGAGAGAGAGAATGATGAAGAATGAAGAAGAAGAGAAAATGATGAGAGTGAAAATTTAAGATGTAACACAAAAGTCACACCTTTAAAGCTGCCCGCTAATTATAAATGGCTGCATTTTCTCAATCACATTCGCCCGTTACAGTTCTCATTAAAGAACGTAGATGGCGCTTTCATATTTTTGCTCCACTTTTGCAAATTTGTACGCATAAGTACATTATATCTCTACAAAATCGAGTTCACTGTTTTGCCAAAGTCAGTTTTTGAAACGATGTACTGAGTTTATTATTTAACTTTGTATCTTTTGTTACGCCAAAGGAGTATAACTTCTTACGTGCGTACATAAGTACGCACAAACTTTTTTTTTTAGTAATACCTACTGACTAACTAGGGTCTTCATAAGGGTACGTGCACGCGCGCGCGGCTTAACAGTAGGAGAATACAAGTCTTGGTCTTCGAATGGTCTCGGCTTGGCTCACACGTCGATGAGCGGCCCCCAGAACATTTTGGAGACGCGCCCCTCGTCCTCCGTCCGGAAGAAGTCCTTGCCCAGCTTCACGAACTCCTTCATCGACAGTTTGCCGTCCTGTCGAGCAAATATCCATATATAAAATAGGCATGGGCAAAAGATATCGATATATAAAAATATCGATATTTTTCCTTACAATTATCGATATAAGTCGTCGATATTTTTTATCGCGATATATCGATAATCGATATTTATCTTAGACTATATAGAATTCGTGTCAATTTCGTTATATTTTTAACGCAACTCTCGTTTCGTGTTTAATGTTGATACTCTTTGCATGCTCCTCGCGCATCGTTAACTTAAAAAATATTTTCAACTATTTTCCTCAAGTCTATTGTTTTTTGGGAATTTTAAATCGTTTGTAAATATATCGAATATAATAAATATCGAATTTTGGGTTTGACGCCTGAAGCAAGATGGCGGCTCACCCCGTTGGTGTCGATGACGGCGAAGGCGACTGCCGCGTGCTCGTTGTCCAGCCCCAGGCACTGGAAGAACAGCTTGAACTCCTCCACCGATATGAAGCCCGACTTGTCCTTGTCCACCGCCTGCAATTGCAACGCAACCCATTAGTGAAACTATAATAGTTCACAGAGCATCATCGTCGTAACGTTATGTATTTGCAAAATTTTGACAAATTAAAGAAGAAACGAATGCAGTTATTAAAAAGATTCTAATATTGGTGTTTGCCGTAATAATCAATGAGTTTATTTACTTGGTACCTTTTTGATTATTGGGTAATCAACTTAGTAACATGAAATAGTTAGTCGTTAATTTAACGAGACTAGTGGACGCGGAGTGGTCGAAATTCGACCACAATTAATCACTACATATTATAAAACAAAGTCGTCCCGCTGTCTGTCTGTCCCTATGTATGATTAGATCTTTAAAACTGCGCAACGGATCTTGATGTGGCTTACTACATAGCGATTCAAGAGGAAGGTTTATATGTATAATACATTGCACCCGCGCGAAGCCGGGGCGGGCTAGTTCATAATATTCTGTATTGAAGTTCGGCAATTACAATATAATTCATTAGAAAAATTACAACATTTCACAGTGCATTTATGATGTTCTGTATTTTGAACTAATATTTTTATACTGCTAACCTCTGTACTTAAGAGAAAACATTAAGAATTGTATAAAAAATGGACGAAATCTTTCGCCGCTGCGGGAATAGAATCCTCGTGTTCCAGATTCCCACCCAGGCCCTTTAACCACTAAGCTAAACGGACGATTGCCACAATGACGAAAATCTCAACGTATTATATTTACACAGATTTTCTGCATTTTAAGCAATGCCTGACGCATTTATTGTCCGTCGCTTGATGCTTGGCTCATACCGCAGTCTTCTTTTTGCTACTATATCAATGTTTCATTTTAAGTGCAGATGAGCACTATAAAAAAAAATAATTTCGAGTAAAATTTATTTAAAAAAAAATACAACGACATTTTTAACACACAGCGAGGGCTGCGTTTATAACATTCTGTATTTGTTAATATCTTTCGTAATTCTCATTCATGTTTGTAAAGCTCATTAATGCTTGTTTTATTTCGATATTTAATTTTTAGTGCCAGTCTGCATTTAATTTAGAACTTACTTCTCTAGTTTTCAAATATTCAATGTGAAAACTGATTTGAGTGTGCTGGTCTAAAGTAGGCACAGTAAATAACGTCAAGCGTTGCTAAAAACGCAATAAAAACAAAGTAGATAAGCCGCCGATTTTCGCGGAATGTGGATGTCTACAGCTTAGCTCAGTGGCTAGAGCGTCTAGCCGCATAATCCTGAAGTAACAGGTTCGAACCCAATGAGCGGCCTAAAATATTTTCGACAATTTACATTAAGTTTCATTAATATTTTTTTTAGATATTATATATTAGCAAATATTTACAAGATTAAATCTATCAAAAATTACATATTATCTAATAAACCGAATCCATTGGCATGGTGACAAGAACGCTAGTTAAAATAATAATTACTATTTAATCTTGTAAATATTACAACAAAAAACTGTATGTTTTTATCTACAACAAAAAAAATTGACCTTGAAGAGATAGGGCAGCCAGCGGTGCGCTCGCTTCTTAAGCGACTTGTCGTTCAGCACGTGGTGCATATCCTCCAAGTACTGTTCCACCGTCACGAAGTTGTAAGGGTCTATCGCCCCCCACTGCTCCTCCCACGTCATCTGTGACCAAACGAACACGCTCCCATCAAATGACTAGTTGATACCCGCGACTTCGGCTGCCTCGCTTATTACATTCCCACCTTCTCCGAGGCAAGAATCTTTCTTAAAACTTTAATAACTTTATATTAAATGAAGATATCATATTTTTCAGATAAAGACCAAGTGCTTAATAATAAAACTAAGAAGAATTTATTGTAATCTGTGCAGTAGTTTTTTAGCAGGCGTCTATCATTTTATTGAAATACATTCGACTGGCAATTGTATTTTGACAGCTGTCATTATGACGTTAAACAATTTTTGGCGGGAATATCGACTGGCATTTTGGAAGATTCATTCTACTGGTCAGCAGCTTTCATTTCACGCCAGTGTACTGTGAGGTCGTGGACGAGTCTACCCATTCATGCAACAGTCGAAGCAAAAACGTGGCCTAACACACTTATGCCCAGTTTCCGAAAGGCCAATCAAAGCAGCAATCACATAACACTATGTCAAAAATGATCAGCTGTTAATCTCTTGTTAAACTGCCTTGGGTTTCTGGAAGGTTTGTTCAAGAAAAATTAGCTAATCACTGTATAACCAATGATAATGAATGAAATGAATGATTTACTTTAACTAACTCTTTCTATTGTATAGCTGTTCCTCTTTAAACAAAACTTAAATTAACGTCATTATCCAGTGCTGTCACCGTGTGATTGCCAACGTAAAAATCAGAGTTATAATAAAATTTAATTTATATAAATACATGCAAAATGTCAAGAAAAAACTTTACAGAACGTGAAAAAAATTAACTTTTACAAGTAAGTATTATAAAAAGAAAGAATCCATATTATTTATTAACTTTTGAATTGCATTTTTTATTTTTTCTAATCGCATGATATGTTCGCATAATAATAAATAATAAACAGGTAATAGAACGCATGAATTTCCTTACGACGTATTAGGGAATTATGATTATTTTTAATAAAACTAAGATTTTTGATAAAATACATTTTTAACCAACGATTGATCGTCCAAATTGACAGATTACTTAATAAAACTTTTGACAGCTCGTTGATCACCGAAAAATGCTTTCAGAAACTCGATTTTCTGTTCATTGTCCGTTAATCAGTGACTAATTGCAAATCAAAATCAATGTTGTTTTCAGACGTTCTAGCAACTCAGATCATGTTAAACAACGTTTGACAAGAGATTTATCGTGAATTAAAATTGATTGCGCTTTCGGAAACTGGGTGTTAGACTGCATCGAACTGTTTTAATAAATACGTCAAGGTGTTGGTAGTTCACAGCAGTTCCGGAGTCTTTGTTCTCCGCGTACAACGATCGATACAATCGCGACCTCGAACCATAAATAAGCAGAGACAACAGAGTGTACTCACTTTAATGATGGCCGTGAACTCTTTGGTCTGCTCTTCGTCCAGATGCCCCAGCGCCTTGAACCGGTCGGCGAAGAGCAGGAAGTCGTTGAACGAGATCAGCCCGTCCTTGTCCACGTCCAGTATGTTGTGGACGGTGCGCATCTTGCGACGCCAGAACTCCGACTGGAGTTGGAGGAGCGAGTGAATGAATGAATGAACTCTTAAGTGAATGGATGAATGAATACACTCTTATTGTCTAGCACAAATTAGAGTATACATAAAAGTGACAATAGAACAACAAATTTATGCAATGTACAATTTGGCGGCCTTGTCGCTTCATAGCGATCTCTTCCAGGCAACCAATGGCGGAAAGGAAACGTATAATACGTAGGTGGTACAATAGGAATATACATAATATATTATTAAAGCGAAATTTAAATTGTTTATAGTGCTAATCTTTGCACTTAAGATTGAACATTAAAATATGTAGAAAAAGTGCGAAAAGATTGTCGCCGCTGTGGGAATCGAACCCACGTCTTCGGCATTCGCGGCCTGACGCTCTAGCCACTGAGCTAAACGGCAAACAATTTAAATTTCTAAAAAAGCAATGGCGGCATCTCTCGTTCGAATTATCGTTGTGAAACGATATTCGAAATTGATTGTATGCTGGAAAGGATATGACAATAGATGGCGCCAAGCATTGCTTCAAATGCTAAGAAAACAATGTGGAAGAATGCGTTAAGATTTTCGTCGGTGTGGCAACCAGCCGTTACATATTTTAACGGATACATACATATATACACATACACACAAAAGTACATGCTTATTTACTATCATACATACATACCCACGCAGATAAAGAAGAAAGAAAGAAAGAGATTTATTTGACATAAAACAGACTGACGTACACAACAATCATTTAAAACAATAAAAATTAGACAAAAAAAAACATAAACAGAAAACTCCAGTATGCATAATATATTCCCTTTTCATTATAGTACCATTAAGATTCAATGATAATAAATGACGATATTTGTACTGAATCTTGTAATACTTTCCCGTTCTGGTGAAGAAGGTAGCCGGAGCCCAATTTTCAAAAAAGGATGTCAACGCATCTGCAAACCCTCGGGTGTAGCGGATGTCCATGGGCGGCGGTATTCACTTAATCAGGTGAACCGCCCGCTCGCTTAACAACTCTTCACATAAAAAAGGGATTTAACCCTGGGTCTCACCCTATCGAAGCCTTTGCATTCCGTGTCCGAATCGGAATCGCTGTCGGACTGTTCTTTCCTCCGGTCCTCCTCCGGCCTGCCGTGCTGCTTGCTGTAGCAGCGGCGCAGCGAGTTGGACCTCTCGACCAGCTCGTGGCCGTCCCGACTCTTCTCCGGAAGGTAGCACACCGTTCCGTTGCATATCGGCTTCGAGTGGATCAACTGGAAAGAGATTGGCTCAATTAATAACGTCTGTCCCATGAGCGCTGGAAAAGTTTCGAAACTTCGCGAATTAAAAGTCAAAATTAGAACACGATAAAATCCGTAAACCAGTTTAATTTTTCGCTTCAATCAAGATATCAGTCTGTGAAACTGCATTTAACGCCGTATAACAAGATAGAAAACCTAACTTTTATAAACAGTGCAGAAACTGCTAGTCTAAATAAATAAAAATAAATTTAATCATACATTTTAAGAATGAACGTGACATATCTAGTCACAAAATATTCATCGTTAAGTGTTTTTGTATAGTTTTCCATACTGTTAAGTGTGTACACTAGATGGCGCCAAACTTAAAATTAGATAAAGAAAGTGGAGAGCTGTGGAGATTTTCGCGCCATCAGGTCATCGGCCTCTTGAGCTTAGTTCGAAAGTTTCCGTACATTTATCTACGAATGTTCACATTTTAAAAACAGCTTCAAAAACGTTACTTTTTTACTAAGACAAACGTTCCCAAATATCAAAACTGCCACTGGTTCACAAATTATAACGCTCGAAAGAGGTCAAGCCTACATCTCTTTTAACCATGCGGTGAAATGTTCAAGTAAATAGATGTCCTGTTTTACTTTTTGTATAGACAAAACAATAGATAATTTCGTTTCAAAAAGAAATAAACGTAACATTTATGCGATGTTGCAGATACGGTGTCACGGTGTTAGAAATAATTACTCTAAATTGTAATGTTGCAAATAATTGTTTTTTTAACTATCTCTCTTATGGTATGAATAAAGAACAAACGAATGAATAAATAAATAACTATGTATGTACTTAAGTACGCACTTCAAATTAATTCAACTACCTACCTTCAGAGATATCTTTCAATCTTACTTGACTGAGTCACTCACTCATTCATTAAGTGGTTATGGAATGGATTGTCTGTAATATACTTTAATCCTCTTTTAGTAAAGTTCATTTTGCGGGTGAAATGGTCTATCTTCAAGATTTAGGTTCAAGACCCCCACGATGTTCCAAATAAGCTCCAAGACGTACGTAAGTTTGAGTAGAGTTAAATTTTTCAACATGCCTTCGTATAAGCATACGCAGTGAGTAAAACTACCTACCGCGATAAGTTATAATCATTACAAACTTATTTTGATTTATCAATTTCCCTTCACTTCAAACAGTCTAAAATTATCAGAAGCCGGTCAGAATCCCCTTAAGTTGCCTGAGGGGGATAAAAATGAAAGTGAAGGATGCGTGTGAACGCCTTTAGCCTCAAGGTCGGCTGGTACTGAAATAGCCTCGAAAACTGTTTCGCAGTTACTAAATTGGCCCTTATTGCTGGCCTGTTTATTTGAAATGGCGCTTGCATATTAGTAGTTTAAAAGGTTTATGGTATTTTATGATTCAGCATGAAACATTGTTTTAAATAATAAAAAGGTAAGTAAGTATCAGAAAATATTACTTTGGGATAGTGCACTCAAATAAAAAAAAATATTAAACCATTTTCATGACATTCGCTCTTATAATTTTATTTTTACTGATCAGTTGCTTATCATATTATTAAAATGTATTTTATATCGTTTGGCTAATAAATTCACGAAAACTTGTGATGTTAACTTAAACATTGTACTCTGAATACTCAACTTAATTAAAGAAGTGTTAGCGTCAATGTAGATATAAAATTTCTGTAGTAACGGTAACGATAATTTATTAAGATAATAAAAATAGAAGTAACACTGTCCATCGAAGGGCCCAACAACATACATTGCATAGGCGCTCGCTTGCATAATGCGGTCATTGACCCGGTTATCGGGCGAACACACGAGTGTTGGGCCCGCGATTAGGAAACTCCGGTTATTTACATAACAAATATTGTTTGGCGCCAAAACTGTGTATTGTCTATGGACAATAAGAAAATGTAATGTGTTCCATTTATAAAAGTACAAACATGTCGAAACTGACTCGCTTACAAACTCACTTGAATATAAAATCTACTAAGTTAATACTTACATTAAAATCTTACTAACTTTATAATTCAAATAATATCAATTTATAGCGCGCCTAAAGTAAATAAAATAAACGTGCCACGTGAACAATGTCCGTGGCTAATGTTGATTTACATGTCTGAGACAGAATTGCACTTATATTTGCATATAATTGCATTACCAATCTAGCATATCTACTCAGTTTGAACACATTCAGATTTTACTGCGATGTTCTTATGTTATGCGATATTTTTTTTTTAATAATTCACTTTGTCTGTTACAGCCTCGACTTATGTTTACTTTATATACTGATCTTTAAATTAAAATGTCATTATAGACATCCGAATAAATTGTAATAATTTAGTCATTAAGTTAATTAATAAAGACAGTACAATAATTAATTAACAGACACTGTTGTATTGACAATTTAAATGTTTTTCAAACGACTTTAAAAATGGAGGATGTCCTCAATTCGCTTGTATTATTTTTATGTATATAATCACATTTTAATTTTTTTTAAAATACGTTCATAAATTCATCATTGGGTTCGGTGTACTTCCATGTGGAACCATAACAGTCTTATCATTGGACCTTTGATCTATGACCTATCCCAAAATCAAATAATAAATGAAGAAATAAACTAGGTAAGTGAGATATTCCGGTTTTTGTTTTTTTATTAACAAAAATTGTTTTATTTCCTGGTTATATCCACTTGATAAAATATACATCAATTGCTTCATATATATTTTGCAAATATTTCATTGAAGTATTGACCTCATTTATTGCTCAGATGGGGAGTTGATTGTTCCAATAAAATCACCCGTCCTCACCGATTTGCAAATTGGTTCACGGCCTACCGCTCGTCCGCTGACGTCCCCCTGACTCTTGACTTTACAATTTAAACCGCCACGCGTCGTACATCGACAAACAATAATTACTCAGAAATATAGCTAAATAAAACCGGCCAAGTGCGAGTCGTAATCGCGATCGAAGGGTTCCGTACCGTAAAAAAATCATGTCTGTTTTATGGGAGGCTGGAGTATTTGTTTGTTATCTCGGCCAATGAGATACAGTCTGGTTACAGACAGAAATCCGAGTCTTAGTAATAGGGTCCCGTTTTACCCTGTGGGTACGGAACCCTAATATCCTTGAGGCAAAGGTTAATTTACAAATAATGATATACGATATGACGAAAAACTTTAAAATACAATTTATTAAGATGCTTTTCAAGTTAATATAGTAGATGTTTGATTTAATACCGAACTAGTAGAAATCGATATTATGCGGTAAGCATAATATAATCTGTGGTTGAGGTTGCGATATGAGTTACTGGACTGAGATGAAATGAACGGTCTTTGTAAATTATAACAAGATGTATTTTAAAATGCACAAAAGTTAGTATAAGACTATTGTATTAAATATAAAATCTACCTTTTATACATGAAGTTGTAAAAGTAGAGGATAGAAGAACTAGTATAGACAAGTAGACAATCTAACATATCAACATTCCACATATACAAAGGACTTAATAAATAAACTTAATGCTATAAAAATTAGTGTTGAAAGATCTCCGTGATCTTTAATACGTCAGTTTAAATTGTTTTTCAAAATGACAATCCTAAATAACTTCTAAAAAAAACTATTTTTTTAAGATTAATAACTTTGATTCGAAGTTAGATTAAGGTCGAGAATACATAGTTTATTTCCACGATGCTGTATATTTTAAAAATGTCATTATTTGTACCTTTTCGTATCAAACTAGATACTGAAATAAGAGGAAGTTATCACCTGGCAACTGGGGATGTCAATTGTTTAAAATGGAAATAAATAACTCATAACATCTTTTAGGTTTCTGTGCCTAAAGGGTAGAACGGGACCCAATTACTAAGACTCCGCTGCCTGTCTCTATCTGTGCGTCCGTCACCAGGATGTATATCTCATGAACCGCTAGACAGTTTTTTTTTTGTTTTCCACCGAAAGTTATAACCACGTATAGCTAGACAGTTGACTATTTCTGTTGCCGCTATAACAACAAATACTAAAAACAGAATAAAAAATAAAAGTGGGGCCGTTTGCCGTTTTTATAGAAAATGTTACAGAACCCTTAGTGCGCGAGTCCTACTCGAACTTGGCCGGTTTCTTTCCATTCGCGTATTGAAGTCGCGTGTTTGAGTTAGGTACATCATTTGCAAAATTGAGTTTCGCTATCAGAATTTCTTCTGTCTATTTTGATAAGTAGATGGGCAGTATTATAATTTTATACAATTTTCATGAACACCCTGTGTGTATTATTTTCAATTATATCAAAATATATATACCAAAAACCAAGCAACTACTACTAGTCTGGATCCACAAAAACTAATTTATCCAATGTCATCTCTTGACATCCGTAAGATTGTTACAAAATATAACATGCAGCTATCATGAACAACAATTTCGACAAAGTGATGAAATCACACGTTACAATCTTAACATGACGAAATCATACATATAAAGAAACAACCATCACAATGCATCGCCACTAAACATCCGATGGGATATCGTCCTAGGGAAGTCAAGAACTAGGCTGTCGTATATAAAACAAAACAGATACGCCCCAGCTACAGTCGTTACATAATAATCGACATAACATTACGACCTCTGAAACATTGTCAGTAACATTAAAATCAAATTATATATCTCGTCGCTTGACATCAAAACGGACTAAGTACGGCGCCAGCTTAAGTGTTCGCGATAAGCCTTCAAATAAAAAGACAAGAATGTCGTCTTTACAGCTCGTTGCGTATCGTTCGTCAAATGTTACAAAATATTAATAATAATTAGCAATGATAAAAAAGTGTTCAGAACAATCCCCTGGTTGCAACTTCTAAAATTACATTTAATTCTATTATTATAAGTCTCGTAATCAAAGAGTCGGGACATGCCAGAAAGTATAGTTTCGATCCGCACAGTGTTTTTGTAATGTCTGGGAGTTTATATGTATGAGCAATATATATTTTTTTTACAAAAGAGAAG